GGTGGCTCACGCCTGTAATCCTAGCTACTCAGGAGGCTGAGATCTGAGGATCGCGGTTCAAAGCCAGCCCAGGCAGGAGAGACAGTGAGACTCCTGTCTCCAATAAACCACCAGAAAACCGGAAGTGGCGCTGTAGCTCAAGTGGTAGAGCGCTCGCCTTGAACTGAAGAGCTGAGGGACAGTGCCCAGGCCCAGAGTTCAAGCCCCACGACCGACCAAAAAAAAAAAAAATGTTTACTCAAGCTGGGACGGTGGCTCAGTGGTAGAGTGCTTGTCTAGCATGTATGAAGCCCTGGGTTTCCTCAGTACTACATACACAGATAAAGCCAGAAGTAGTGCTGTGGTTCAAGTGGTAGAGTGCTAGCTTTGAGTAAAAGAAGCTCAGGGACAGCACCCAGACCCTGAGTTCAAGTCCCAGGACTGGAAAAGCCATACAAACAAAAATGTCCAATGCCAATATTAGAGGTAGTATCCTTATAACAGGAATAATTATAATCATCACAAATGTACCATGGATTGGGTGCTTTTATTGTATGACATGCAGGGTCTTGTTTTCACCTTTGTCACCAACCCTAACAAATCTCTCCAATTTATCTTCTCTTCAATGGATTCTAGCACCAGAGCGGTTAAGTTACCTGCCCAGTACCATACAGTAAGAAATAACTAAATTTTTCCTACATGTGAGTGTGTGCGTGCGTGTGTGTGCGCGCGTGCGTGTGTGTGCACGCCACTCAGTATCTTGAACTCTGGGCCTGGGCACTGTGAGCTTTGTTAAGGCTGGTACTCTGCCACTTTAGCCACTGTTCCACTTGGAGCTTTTTTTTTGGTGGCTCATTGGAGATAAGAGTCTCGAGGACTTTCCTGCTGGGGCTGGCTTTGAACCTCAGCCTCCTAAGTAGCTAGGATTACAGGCATAAGCCACCCAAGACTCTCTTACCTTATTTTAAATTAGCGTCCACCTAGATTTAACCACACACAGGCACGCAGCCTCCTCCTCCTCCTTGTTGTTCATTTATCTGCTTGTTGGAGAAAAGGTCTCCATGAATTGAGCCTCCAGTCTCACTCTCCTAAGATTTTCTTCTTCTTTTTTTGGTGAGAGCAGGGTGTTGGCAGTAAGTGGAGTGAGGACCAAGCCTGGTGCGTGTGTTTATTACACCGGCCGGAAGCAGCGTGCCCTGTGGTGTGCCATCCGCAAGCAGGGAGCCAGAGCTCTGGAAATGGCTGAGAGGTGACACCCTGAGCCTGGTCAGCCTTGGAGCTCTCGTTTTCTCTGATATTCAATGGAAGTCATGTTCCTTGATCTTGGCCCCAGAGATGAGGATTATTAAATGTCCCCATCCCCTTTTCCCTGGACCATTCTAGATGGAGGTTACTGAGTGCAGAAGCTGTTCTGGGGGGAGGGGGGAAGGAAACTGAGTCCCGCAGCTCTGGAGAGATGGGAGAGGCTTGGACTGTGGGAAGCAGAGGGGCTAGCATTGCAAGCTGCAAGCGCACAGCACAGCACAGCTGGTGTGGGTGTGGGTGTGGGGGATCCCTGCAAACGGCACCCCTGGCCCAGGGAGCCTGTTGGAAGGATGGAGGAGCTTCTCTCCTGAGCCCTAAGTACCCGGATGGATTGCACCCTTCTCTGACCCCTCCCCAACTGCTGGGGTTTGTTTCCCCTGGGGAGGGGGGGGTCTTCTTGGGTTTCCCTCTTTGAAAGCCAAAACTTTTTTATTATCCGGCGATCAATCCGTTTGGATGTCGAGAGACCCATTTAATATATTGCATAGGGTGGGGTGGGTTATGGGGGGGAAGGCAATAATAAAGCGTGTGTTTGGGGTGGGGAGGGAGGGAGGGGGCGCTTTGAAGTCAAGGGAAACGAGATAGTTTTTTCTCTCCTGCAGGTAAGGTGTGGGGATGTTCGATCCGCGCCGGCCGGTCACTATAAAGGATCAGGAGAAATCATTCTCCACGAGAACGCGATCGCACCTGAGCTTGGAGACAGACAGACAGACCCCCGCCCTCCCCCCGCCCCGGGAGACGCGGGTCACCGGATGAAGGCAACGAAATTGGGAGAGCCTGACTTCTCCATCTGATGGGATACAGAAGGGGAAACTGAGGCCCAGAGAGCCGTCTCTTCCCTCCCTCCCTCACCCACCTTGCCAATCCCCCTCCCCTCCTACGTGTCTCTCTCCAGGCAAGCAAGTCGAAGGCACCCAAGCCTGGCCTTCCCCCACCCCCTCCCGCTCCCCCTGGCGCCTACTAAGTGCAGGCCTGGCTTTGGGGTCACGTTGTTCTGGGCCGCTCGTCCCCTCCTCCCCTTCCCTCTCCCCCGCCAGACCTCTCCCACGACCGGGGAGGAAGTAGAAGTGGACAGGGGAGAGAGAGAGAAAATAAAGAATTAAAAAAGAAAAGAAAAAGTTGGGCTGAACCAACGCCTTCCCACTCCCCACCCGAGCTCCGAGGACCCCAGGAAATCTGGGTGCGGGGTGTGGGGGGGGACTCCGCTATCCCCGCCCCACCATCACCCCCCACCCCCCAGCAGCTGGATGGGGTGGGTGGGGGAACTTGGGAAGCCGGGGAAAACAACCGCCCTCCCCACCCCGTCCGCCCTTCCCTCCCTCCCTCCCCAACCCCTTCCCCGCGCTACGCCCCTGGCAGCGGGGCGGGTGGAGGCGACTCCTTTATATAATCGCGGGCGGGCAGGTCCGCTCTCTCCCCACCCGAGGGGACCGGGCGCCCCGGCGGCTGCGCGGCGTCCCTGCAAAGCCGCTGCCCCCCCTCCCCGGGGTCCAGCACCCGGCGGCTTGGGCAACACCGAGCCCCCCCCTCCCCAAGGGCTCAGGAGCCCGGACACCCCCTACCCCACCCCGTGTGTGTGAGAAGAGGGAGTGAGGGTGTGTGTGGGGGGGGTCCCCATGCGATCAACCTCCTCCTCCTCCCCCCTCAACCCACCCGCGGCCCGCCCCGGGGGCAGCACGCCCGACCCACGCCCGCGTCGGTCCCGCCGTGCGCACGGCGCGCTCCCCACCCCCGCTGCCATCCTGCCACGCCCCGGGCGTCGGGGGGCACGGCCCGCGGAACCCCCCCCCCCCGCCGCCCCGCACCCCGCCCTGCGCACAGGCTTGGGGGCCTGTTTATCTGCAGGCCCCCCCTCCGCACCCGGGGGGCCCCCCGCGCTCGCTCGCGCTCACTCGCTCCCCCCCCACCCCCCGCGCCCCGGAGAGCTCTGGGGCCAGATAAGCTGGCAAGCTGGCACGGCGCCGCGCGGCGGGGCGGAGAGGTCAGAGGCGGGGGGCCCGGGGCGGGGGGGGGGCGCCGCGGCGGGGGCTGGACCCCCCCCTTCCACTCGCCCCCAAACCTAATAACAGCCCGGTCTCCCCGGCGCGGCGGGCGCAGCCCCACGGGAGGGCAGGGACGTGGCAAGAGCGGACCTGCCGAGCCTGTTCTGGCCGCGGAGGCCGGGTGGGGGGGCGGGCCGGCGGGCGGGGGGGGGGGGGGCCGGGGCTGCGGCACCTTTAAGACAAGGGAGGACCCCTCTTGCCCTCGGAGAAACCAGGAAGGGAGTCGCGAGCATCATACGGGGCCTTGGCGGTACTGTACGGTGACTGTAGGGGCCGTGACGCCGCCGCCGCCGCCGCCGCCCGAGCCAGGCGCGACGCGGGCACCGCCAGCCCGGGCAGCGCGAGCGCCGCCGACCCCGCGGGCGGACGAGCGGCCGACGGCGCCCAGCCCCGACTCCGGGCCCCGGCCCCGCGCGCCCCGGCCCGGCCCCGGCCCCGCGAGGTAAGTCCAGCGCCCGGTGCGGTTTCTTCCTCCTCCCCGTCCCGCCGTCGCCCTGACCCCCCCCCGGGGGGGCACCGGGGTTGCAGGGCGGGGACGGGGGGCGCCCCCGGGGGCAAAGCGCAGCGCCCACCCTGCGCTCGCGGCCCAGGGGAGACCCGGGGACGTTTCTCCCCAAGTTTCCGAGGACGGGGTGCTTGGCAGCTCTACCCCGGAGGCTGGAGGCGAACCCCCCACCCCGAGCCCGAGCGCACGGAGGCAGGACGGGGGGGGGGCGCCGCCCGGGAAGAGGGGATTGGGGGCGAAGTGCATGGGCTCGCGCGCCAGCACTCACCCCCAATTCCCTCACCACCCCAACACCGGGTTCTTGGTCTTTTCGGGGCTCCCGGGCGCGCGAGGAGCGGGGGAGGGGAAGTGGGGCTGCTTCGAGGGTGGGGGAGACCCGGCGTGGGGATCTAGGGGGGCGCGTCGCGTGCTAAGTTTGCAGCCGGGCACGGGGGGCGCCCTCGCCCCCCGGGGGGCCTATTCGGTGCTGCGTGCATACGTTGGAGTTGGCCAGTATGGAGCTCTATGGGGGATGGGGGGGAGGGGGCTGAAAAAACAGGGAGGGGGGCTTTGCAAAGGAGGGGGAAGGGGTGGGGTGTCCGGGTGGGCGGCCGAGGCCGCGCGGCACTCTGGGCGCCGTAGTTCCTTTGCTGCCCCCGGCCGGGCGAATGGCCGCAGACGCGTACTACAAGCCCCAGGATGCTCCGCGCCGGCGGCCCGCCGCGGCCCGAGAGGAGGGGCGGGCCGGTTCGCCAATGGGCGCGCGCGACGGCGCGGCGCGGCGCGGCGTGGGGGCGGGGCTTGCGCGGCTCCCTCGCCGGGGGCCGGTGGCGGTCCCGGCTTCCGGCTGCGCGGCCGCGGGCCTCCCCCTCCCCGCCCGGGCCCCTCCCGCCTGTTGTGTAACTGTCCCCGACCCCCCGCCCCCGGCCCCCCGCCCCGGGGGAGGGGGTCCCCCCCCTGCGAGAGGGCGCTCCCCGGGGAGGGCGACGGCCCCGCGGCCGCGCGGCGCAGGCGAGCCCGGGGATGCGCGGCCTGGCGCGGGTCGGGCCGGGCGCGGGGGAGGCGGCGGCGGCGGCGGCGGCGGGCGGGCGGGCGGACCCAGATCCGGGGTAATTTGCATCGCCCTCCCCCCAGCCCGGGTGGGGATTGGCCGCCGGCGGCGGGGGGTGGCGCGGGGCCGGGCTCACTGCCGCCTCCCGGCCTCGGAGCCGCCAGCCAGCCAGCCGCAGCCGCCGCCGCCGCCGGGGCCGGGCCCCTCGCGCTGCCCGGGAAGGAGGTAGGACCCGCGCGGCGGCCCGGGGCTCGGGGAGGGGCGCGGGCCGCGGGGACGGCCGCTTCCTGTTCCCGGTCCGGCCTCCTCGTCCTGTGTCTGCGCGGCCCCGGCCCGCGGGCCCCGGGGAGGCCCGCAGGGCGGCCCGCGCCCCCGAGCGCGTGACCCCGTCTCCTCGGGCCGGACCCCCCCACCCCCTACCCCGTTTCCCCTGACGCCGCCACCACGTGCGAGCCGGGCGGCCTGGTCGCCGGGGCGCGCGGGAGGGGAGGGGGGGTGGCCACCGTCCCCCCCGCCCCGGGGTGGGACCCGGCCGGGGGCTGCGCCGGGCGCCCGGGGCCGGTGTCCGGCCTCCCCCCCCCCCCCCCCGCCCCGGGCCTCTGCGGGTCTGGGAAGGCGCAGCCCGGCCGCCGGGGGAGCCGCCGAGTCGCCGCCGGACCCCGGGGCGCCCGGGGTCTCCCCCACTTTTTTAAGTGTCGGCCGAAGGCAGCCCGGAGTTGGCGGAGTGGCCGCGGCGGGCGGGCGGCTCCTCGGCCCCCCAGCCCGCGGGCGGAAGTGAGAGAGGCGTGGATGCCCCCCCCCCGCCGGCCCACCTGGCTCACCCATGGGTGGCCGGCCCGCACGCCCCGCTCCCCCGCCCGCCAGCTGCCTGCCTGGCGGACAGCGCGTCCGGGACTCCCGTGTCGGCCCCTCCACCCGGGCCAGGGCGTAACCCGGAGTGGCCGCTCCCACCCTTGGGGAGGGGGGGGCCTCCCCGCCACCACCAGCCCCTCACTTCCTATTGGCAGGCCGGGGCTCCAGGCCAGATCTGGTCGCTGCTGCCTGGGCTCCGGGCTTGGGGACATTTCTCTCCCGCGCCCCCCCCCCCCCCCCATGGGGCCTTGCAGCACACACTGGGCCTGGCCGGGCCTGGCACCTCACTCTGCTGGGCTCGGGGCTCTGTTTACCGCCAGGCATCGCTGTGGCGACGGGGCGCCCTGGGGGAGGGGGGGGGACGGCCGCCGCCACTGGAAAAGCCAGGCCCCATGCAGGAAAGAGGAGCCAACGAGGACACTGAAATTTTAATTCGTGGGTCACTTTGGGGGGGTATTTATTATTCAGTTCTGATTGGCTGCAGGGTGACCAGTCAGCACCTGGCCCGGCCCGCTGGGGCCCCGCACACCTCTCAGCCCAGAGAGCAGCAGGTGATGCAGGAGCCTTTTTGCTCCACGGGGGGAGACTGAGGCCGGCCAGCGCTGCCCGGAGGAGGGGGGGGGTGTGGGCAGTCAGTTTCTGAGGCAGTGCTGCGTCCTTGGTGGCTTTGGGGCTTGTTCTGTTCTTTTCCTTGAGGCTGTCTGACCCATAGCTGGGTCCACCTGGTGGCAGTCCTTGTCAACTGGAGGATGAGGCCTGGGGGGAGGTCCCACGTGAGCCCAGTAAACCTCAGAGCTGGGTCTGGGTTGGGCCATGGAGGCAGGGAAGCAGAGAGCAGCCCAAGGTCACCCACTGCAGCTGGGTCTGACCTGGTGGTCCTGCCTCTCTGGTGGAGGGCCACTCCAAAGTCCCCTGGTGTGTTGGCCCAGAGCTGTCTGCCCACCTGTGTCTTTCCAGGAAGGAGAGTCAGAGGTGCGTGGTAGAGCCTCCTTTCATTGTAGGCACCTAAACGGTGCCTCCCTGTGACTCTGCCCAAAGATGACATTGAGCTCAGAGAGGGCCAGCAAGGCTCCAAGGTCACACAGCATGAGCCCCAGTTCCCTCGCCTCCCAGCCTGGCATGTGGGTACTTGGTGTGCATAGGAAGCCCTGTCCCACCCCTGCCAAGCCGTACCCTACCATCCTGACCCTGCTCCTCCCTCCTTCAGGCAGGCAGGGACAGAGGTCACCTCCCCAGAGCCACGACTCCAGAGTTACCCCTCTGAAGCCGAGTTGGCCTGAGGGAGGGGCTCAGTAGTATTTGGAATGTAGTTTTCTTGCTGTGTGACCTTGGACAAGCCCCAGGCCCCTAGAGTCTCGTCCCCACAGTGGAGGTCCTCCTGCGGCTGTCCTTGCCTCCCTTGTGGAGGACGAGCTCACCAGCCCAGGGCACCCCAGGAGCTGCTGGGCGTTGGTGTGGTTCTCTGGTCACCCGAGACGCCCCGCACCCCTGTTTCCCGGCCCCAATTCCTGATATAAGCCACCCTTCAGCGGCTGTGGGCACCAGGGGCCTCTCATCTGCCTCAGTTCCCCGTGAGTAATCTGGGAGATTGCCTTCAACCTCAGTGGCATTCAAGGCCCTGGAACCCGAGTTGGGCGACTACTGGACTGGGTCAGAGCCTGGCACGAGTCCCTTTTGCACACCCGACCTGGGGATCCAAGGGCCAGGGCCAGCACCCTGGCCTCCAGCCCTGCCCCAGGCCCCCGGGTGACCTCCCTGTCCCTTCTCTGGGGCAGCTCTGGGGCTCCGTGGGACGCCCAGCTCAGCCCCATGGCCTCAGGGTGGGGGACTCCGTCCACTGCTGCTCTCCCTCGGGCTGCGCTGGGGGAGGGGGCAAAGGCATTCTGGGAAGACGAGTTAGGCTGGACTAGTCAGTCAGATGGCCTGTGTTCAAATTCCAGCTCGGCTCTGTGACTCTGGGCAGGTTGCTTCCCCTCTCTGAGCCTGTTTTTTGTTGCAGAATGGGTCATGATTCCAGGCCCTGTCTTCCTGAGCTGGGGGCAGGGGACGGAGGGGAAAGTCCCTGTATGAGGGAGACCGGGCTTGGGGAGCAGCCCCAGCCCCGAAGGCCCAGACTCAGAGCTCTGCAGTGCAGGTGCCCTGCTCAGAACCTGGCATGGGTGAGGCGCGTGGCCAGAAGACCAGCCCTTCCATCTGTCCCCCCAGCAGGCTGGGGATGGCCACTCACTCGGTGGAGGCGTCCCCACCCACGCCTTTCTGGTTTGACTGGAAAACAGGCCGGGTCCCTCCCGCCAGGGTGTCTGAGGGATCTGGTGAGAGCCTAGGTCCTGGCAGCTCAGGCTGCCCGGCTCTCCGGGGCCCCTTCGCCCAGGGAGCTTCCAGGTCGTGAGCCCTCCACCTGCTCAGGCTGGGGAGAGGGCATAACAGGTGACAAGCAGGCCCTTCGAGGTCACGTGGTGGCCTCTGCTGGGCACCTTGGTCGGCAGGTGCAGCGGGGCTGGCTGGTGTGGCCTTGGGCCTTGCTTTCCCCCAGGAACAGGAAGCTCACTGCTTGCCCTCCTGGAGGGCTCCAGCTTCCTCTTGGAGCCCAGCCTGGGTCTCGGGTCTGGGCTTCCTGGCCCTGACTATACTCAGAGAGCGTGGGAACAGGGTGGGCCTCGGCCCCGCCCTGGACTTGGGGGTAAGATGGAATCCCCAGGCCGCCTTGCCCCCACCCCCACACACGCACACTTCCCACTGGGCCAGCTGCCTTCCTGCCTCTGGCCCTTTAAGGCCCGGGCAGGAAGCCCCTCCCCATTTAGGGCAATAAATGGACATGCAAAATGGCCGAGGGCCTGTGTGCGCCTGCCTGGCCTGAGGGTGGCCTGCCACCTAGGAGGGAGGTGGGCAGGGGGCAGACTGGCAGGGCCCCTGGTGGCCGGCCTTGGAGTGGGACACTGCATTCCTGTCCCATTAAACCCGGGCCGGGGACTGGGCCAGGCAGGATTGGCACCAGGTCAGGGCGGGGTAACCAGTCGGCCAATCTTGCAACACAGGCAGCCAGGCTGGGAGGGGGCAGGTCCAGCTCGGCTGGGGCCTGGCAGCCGCACCTGTGAGCCAGGCTTTGCTGTGTGACCTTGGGCTAACCACCCACCCTCTCTGAGGCAGCATTTACCACCTTGTTGCTTCTGAGAGCTGGGTTACCCAATTCTTGGCCTGTAGGTGCCAAGGGTAGTGGGCCTGGTTCTCTGATGTTCCAAAGTGGGGCTCAAAAGCTTCTCTAGCTGCAAGGGGCTGCCTGGCTGGGCCTTCTGGTGACCAGCCCGGGTACACAGTGGGTGCTCAGGGAAAGCCTGCTGAGTGGGGAGAGGACTCTTTCCACCACCTCCCCCCACCGCGCCCTCCCCCCACCCCAGGTAACCAAGGCTCTGGAGGTGTGGGTCCTGCTCAGGGAGTGCGGAGGGTGGGAGGTGGGTGGGCCAGGGCCCCTGTTACCTGGGGGTGGCGTGGCAGGGGACACTCGCTCGGTGTTGGGTGGGGGTCCCTGGCCACCTTAGGCCCTCCCGTTGGTTACCCCCCTACCGTCCCCGGGACCTTCGTGGACGACACGCCTCCCCTGACCTTACAGCTGGTCCCCAGCCTTGGGGAGGGGGCAGCAGCCCAAGCGGGAGGGCCTGACTCGGGCTGCACCTGGCTGTCTGTGTACGGTGTGACCTTGGCTGGGTGCTGCTACCTCTCTGAGTCAGTAGCGGGAGGAGGATGAACTGAAAGCAGCTAGTGCTTTCTGGGAGCTATGGAGAGCCGAGGTGAGGGCCTGGGTCCTGTCGCCTTTGCAAGGAGCTGTAGCAAGTCACCTTCGGTTAGCCGGGAGTCAGGGGTGGTTCAGCTCTCCGGGTGGGCACAGCTGGGTGTGAGCTGGGGCTTTGGTTCATTCCACTGCAGCCCTACTGTGTGTGGCTGGGGTCTAGAGAGCAGGTCCCCACCTCCAGCCTAGGACGGGCCTGCCAGAGCTTGCTCCTCACCCATATTTCTTAGCAACCATGGAAATGACACACAGGAGTCAGGAAAGCTGGGCCTGGGGCCTGCTCCGAGGAGGAGGCCAGTGCCACCACTTAGGGCGGTTTATGGGGACTTCCTGGGCCGTGTGCTAGCCGGGGCCCCTAGGAATCAGCCAGAACCACACAGTGGGTCTGCAGCATGCAGGTGCTTTTTATTTCTGGGCCTCCGGCACCCGCAAGGGGCTCTGGCCAAACCCCTGACCTCCTTGTCCTACTGGGAGCGGGTTGTTGGGAGAGGCCCGTGAGAGGCCCAGGTGGGGCGGCGGTGCCTGGCGGCCGGGCAGGTGGCTCTTGTTCCTGGAGAGAGGGCGGGCGGGTCAGGTGTCTGCAGCCCAGTTGGGTCTCGGAGGCCAGGCAGGGAGGGCATCCTCTCTGGGTAGGTGGGGACCTCCGTTGTGGTCCATCCAGCCTTGCTGGGTGTTGTCGGCTGGCACGCTGGCCCTCTCTGGGTCTTGGCTGGCTCATCTTGTCGGTGGGGACTGTGATCCTCGTGTGGCTTGCCTAGTCAGTGTCTCCCCAGGCCTGGCTGTTTGGCAAGAGGCTCTTGGGAGGTTTGGGGGAGACAGTATCCTGGGAAAGGAGAGGGGAGGCATGGCCTCCGAGCTCTGCCAGGCCCCGGGCAGCCCCCGGCCCAGGGCTGGGTGCCTGGCGGAGGGGTGGAGCTGCCACAGTGAGGGCTGAGTCACTTGGACAATTTTGGGTCTCAATCTCTAGGTCCCTGGGGACCAGAGGAGCCTGGGTCACCTGGAGGAGGACAGCCCAGAAAGGGAGGGAGGGGGCAGAGGTTTTTTCCCTCCCTGTAAGCGTGCATGCGGGTGGGCAGGGCCAGGGGCAGGGGCAGGGGCCTGTCTGATCCCAAGCCCCATCTGCCCACGCGCTCCCCGGGGCCGAGGCCAGACGGCAGATGGTGGTAGGGGGTGGGAGCTCGCACCAGGGCGTAGAGCCCCCCCCCCACCCCCAGGCCACATCTGAGCCTCCTTTTCCCACCGAGGCGGAGCTGTGAGAGCCGAGCAGCTGGCAGGAGGGTGGGCGGCCACGGGAGGAGAGAGCCCGGGCCACACAAAGGCCTCTGTGTCGGCCATGGGACCCCACTCCAAGGGCCACTGGCTGGGGAGAGGGGGGCTGTGGCCTTGGGTCCGGCTGGGCTAGCCCTGGGCTCCCTTGCTGGCCTGAGAAAGGCTCATGTATGGGAGGGCCAGGCATTAGGGCTTCTTGGTGGGGACAGGAGGGGCCTGTGGTTCTCAGGGGGCCGAGGGATCACCCGCCAGGCCCTGTCCTGAGGGATGGCGGTGGCATCCCAGAGGGGTGAGGAGCACTGGGGCTGTGCTGGGTGGTAAGGGGTGGTTGGCTCCGGGGAGAGGGTGGGGACCACAGCCAGAGGGTTGCACAAGCCAGAGTGGGCGGGTGAGTCAGCCCCGGGGACTGCAGGACAGACGGACGGACAGACAGACAGACAGACCGACCGACTGACCGGGGAGAGCAGGTTCCCACTTTCGTGAGCAGGGACCCCTGCCCTTCTGGAGAGAGAGAGAGACGCAGAGTGCCAGGCTTTGCCCTGGGGGAGCAGCCCGTGGAGCAGCTGAGATGCAGGATGCCGAGCGGGCTGTGGACTTGGGGGGCTCCGCCTAGGTCGTGGCCTGCTTTCCCCTGTTACTCACTGTGCGGCCGGCCCGGCCCGGCCCAGGGGCTCACAGGCAGCCTTGCCCCCGTGGGCCACACCCACTTGCCCTTGACCCCAGCGGGTCACAACCCCCGGTCTCTGTGGCTCAGCCTCACCCCTTCCTGGGGAGATTCAGACCTCCCCCTCCAAGGGCTGCTTCCAGGTCAGAGGGCCCTGGGTGTGTCCCCAGGCCCTGCTGGGTCCTCCGTGGAGAGCTGTGGCAGGTGGCCCATCTGCCCAGGTCTGGGGCGGGAGGTGCAGGGGAGCAAAAGCAGCTGCATGGGCACGAGCCCTGTGTATCTGCTGTGGCTGGCGCCCCGCAGCCCCGGGGGCTCTTCAGGGCCTCCCCCGAGGGGAGCAGCCAGGGTGGGCTTTCAGCATCGGCTCCTGCGGGTCAGGTGGATCCGGTCACGGGATGGCCCTGGGGCCCGGCGGGGGACGCGGCGGGGGTGCTGTGCAGGGGACCGCCTTCTTGAGAACCCCGTGTCCCGGCTGCAGGTCTCGGCGCGGAAGATGGCCGGCGGCGTGGACGGCCCCATCGGGATCCCGTTTCCCGACCACAGCAGCGACATCCTAAGCGGGCTGAATGAGCAGCGGACGCAGGGCCTGCTGTGCGACGTGGTGATCTTGGTAGAGGGCCGCGAGTTCCCCACGCACCGCTCCGTACTGGCGGCTTGCAGCCAGTACTTCAAGAAGCTGTTCACGTCCGGCGCCGTGGTGGACCAGCAGAACGTGTACGAGATAGACTTCGTCAGCGCGGACGCGCTCACCGCCCTCATGGACTTCGCCTACACCGCCACGCTCACCGTCAGCACGGCCAACGTGGGCGACATCCTGAGCGCCGCGCGCCTGCTGGAGATCCCCGCCGTGAGCCATGTGTGCGCCGACTTGCTGGACCGCCAGATCCTGGCCGCCGATGGGGGCGGCGCCACGGGGCAGCTGGACCTGGTGGAGCAGATTGACCAGCGCAACCTCCTGCGCGCCAAGGAGTACCTGGAGTTCTTCCAGAGCAACCCCATGAACAGCCTGCCCCCCGCCGCCGCCGCCGCCGCCGGCACCTTCCCGTGGTCCGCCTTCAGCGCTCCGGATGACGACCTGGACGCCACCAAGGAGGCTGTGGCGGCCGCCGTGGCAGCGGTGGCCGCAGGCGATTGCAATGGCCTGGACTTCTACGGGCCAGGGCCCCCTGCGGAGCGGCCCCCGGCCGGGGACGGGGACGAGGGGGACAGCAACCCGGGCCTGTGGCCGGAGCGGGACGAGGACGCCCCCGCGGCTGGCGGCCTCTTTCCACCCCCAGTGGCCCCGCCGGCGGCCACACAGAACGGCCACTATGGCCGGGCCGGGGAAGAGGAGGTGACCTCCCTGTCGGAGGCGGCTCCCGAGCCCGGAGACTCCCCGGGCTTCCTGTCGGGCACCGCCGAGGGCGAGGATGGGGACACGGCGGACGTGGATGGGCTGGCGGCCAGCACCCTGCTGCAGCAGATGATGTCCTCCGTGGGCCGGGCGGGGGCCTTGGCGGCCGGGGACAGCGACGAGGAGTCGCGGGCGGACGACAAGGGCGTCATGGACTACTACCTGAAGTACTTCAGCGGCGCCCACGAAGGCGACGTGTACCCGGCGTGGTCGCAGAAGGGGGAGAAGAAGATCCGCGCCAAGGCCTTCCAGAAGTGCCCCATCTGCGAGAAGGTGATCCAGGGCGCCGGCAAGCTGCCGCGGCACATCCGCACGCACACGGGCGAGAAGCCCTACGAGTGTAACATCTGCAAGGTCCGATTCACCAGGTGAGCCGGGCGGGCGGCCGGGAGGCCGGGCGGGCGGCCGGGCGGGCGGCCGGGCGGGCGGGCGGCCGGGCGGGCGGGCGGCCGGATGGGCGGGCGGCCGGGCGGGCGGGCGGGCGGCCGGATGGGCAGGCAGGCGGGCGGGCAGCCGGGCTGGCCAGCCAGCCAGCCAGCCTTCTACACCTAGCCCGACCCTCTTGCTTGTCTGTCCGGGCCAATATGATTTCCCTGCTCTTGGGGGCAGACAGCCTAGTGAGCAAGGGACAGCTGAGGCCTGAGGCCAGGTGGCCCCAGCAGACACCCTGAACCACCCTCCCTTCCTCCCCCCCCACAGGCCAGAGTCGCTCTTCCTTCTGCTGGGCAGGTTTTTTGTGCGTGTGGCAGGTTTTCTGTTTTGCGGCAGGAGAAGGGGCAGCCTCGCAGCGCGAGAACTCGGTGCTGGGAACTGGCAGTGTTTGTTACGCACCTGCTGTCCGCTGAGCCCTGGTCTAGGCCCCAGCAGTGGGGCAGAGCAGGCCGGCGCTCGCTCCTCGCTCGCTCGCTCGGGGCTGTGGCCAGGCTGCCGCCGCCTCGGTGGAGCGAGGCGGTGGGAGGGGCCGGGAGAGGTGCTGGAGGCTGACAAGCCCAGCGGAGGCCCTGGTGCAGGGCACTTTTCGGGTGAGGGTTCGTTCTGCAGAGCCCGTGGACATGAAGAGGCCTGGGTGGCGGTCCTGGGGTTCTGTCCCGGAGTGGGAAGAGTTCGAGGCCAGTCTGTGATAGTTTTGTGATTGAGTCTTAGGAGTCCAGAGGTGGCCGGCCTGGCCGTGGACCCAGGGCAGGCCAGGCCCGTGTGTGTGGGGGTGGGCACAGGCAGGCAGGGACCCTGCCAGGCTGGGTGACTCAGCGTCACCCCTACCCCCCTGCCAGCCCGCCCTGGGGTTCCCCTGGCCACGCCCACCGAGGCTGAAGAAAGAAGCCATTGTCCCAGCTTCCCGGTCCCACCCTGCGGAGCGGGACCTGAGGCTGCCCCCTCCCCAGCATGCCAGACCCCTCCCCACCCACGGGCTGGAGACCAGGGCGCGGCCTGAACTCCAGTGCCTGGGAGTGCCAGGTGGGGGCAAAGAGCACGAGCTGGGGGCGGAGCCTGCGGTGAAAGGCCCAGGTGCTGCCATCTACAGGAAGAGCCTGGGCGGGCGGGGGGGGGGGGGCGGCCTCGTGGCCGGCCTGAGCTGCTGACCTGTCCCTGGGGCTGCAGCCGCCCAACCCTGGGCCCGGCTTGGTTTCATTCTGAGTTGGTGTGTGTTCTGCCACCGCCCCCCACACTGGTCCTTGGCCAGTCTGTCTCCTTAGTAGTCAGGGAAACTGAGGCATAGGGAAATTCCATTCAGAGAAGCTCCTGCTCTTTGGCACACCCACGTCCCGTTGGTGCCCCCAGCCCGGGGCCCCAGTGCCCCCCCCCACCGCCCCCTCTAGGCCTGCAGCCCAGAGGCCCCTCTGAGTCATGGCGGCGTGTTGAGTAAGTGGGGCTGTGCAGCCTGGGCTGTAATTACCCAGGCCGGGGCTCGGGGGGATGAAACCAGGGCTGCCTCCCACCCCCACTCTGCTTCTGTGCCCAGCCCCTGCCCCGCTGCGTAACACAGGAGACTCACTTCCTCCTCGGAGCCTCCAGTCCCAGCTGGGACTACATGCTAGCACTACATGCTAGAACGCGTTAGTCCAAGCTGTGCCCTCCAGGCCGGGGATCTGGGACGCTGAGCCAGTGCTCAAGAATGGGCCTCAGTCCCGGACAGCCCGGAGTGAGCAGTCACTGCAGCCCAGTGGGACAAGACAGCTGGGCAGGGTGGAGACTTTATGACCCAAGGGGCAGGCATGGCAGCATTAGAGGAAGTGGGGCTATCAGCCCTGCACTGTGCCCTTTGGGAAAGGCCTGGGACTGAAGGTGCCAGGTCTTCAGGGGCTGGGGAAGGCAGAGGGGCATTCGAGGTGGGCTTTTGAGGGATGCGTAGGAGTTTGTCAGCAAGTCAGGGATTAGTCACTAGGGCTTCTGAGACCCAGGATCTGCTCCGACCCTGTAGATTTCTAGAAGGACTCCACCCCCATCTTCAGTGAGGGTGTCAGGAACCTACCAGGTGCCTGTGGGCATGTGGGCGGGGCTGGGGTATCCGGGTACTGAATTTATGAAGTGCAGCCTCTCGTGCCTCAGTGGCCCTGGCCACGTTGCAGGGGCTTAGGAGCCGCCTTAGGGTTCAAGTACGCCTGGTCCAAAGACGACAGGCTGAGCGGGTACGGTGGGCAGGGAGAGGCCTTGGGGCTCATAGGAGAGACTGTGAGAAATAACGGCACGGGTTGCATGGCTCGGGTGGTAGAGTGCCAGCCAAAAAGCAAAAGCGTCAAATACTAAGGAGCCCTAGTCTCAGATCAAAAACAGAAAAGAAAACCAAAAGCAAAGCAGTGAGCAGCACAGGGCAAGACGGGGGCATCGAGGGCCACGAGAGGTGGTGGCATTCGAGCCTGTGTTTGGTGATAGGGCTCGGGGAAGAAGTGTGTCCATTGGCCAGCATAGCACGTGCAAAGGTCCTGGGGCAACCAGAGGGGAAGAAGAGGGGACTGGTGGGCCTGGGCGCCCTGTGGGGCTGTGGCGGGCTCAGCTCCCCCGTGACGGGCACCGGGGCTGGCCATCTGCCTTGCCTTGTTTTCCCCTCGTCCCAAGAGCAGGGCCCAGGCGTCCAGCGCCCAGCCCGCGGGCCCTGTGGCCGAGCCCCCCACCTCGCTGACCCAGCCCCGCGTGCCCACCCCGCAGGCAGGACAAGCTGAAGGTGCACATGAGGAAGCACACGGGCGAGAAGCCGTACCTGTGCCAGCAGTGCGGGGCGGCCTTCGCCCACAACTACGACCTGAAGAACCACATGCGCGTGCACACGGGCCTGCGGCCCTACCAGTGCGACAGCTGCTGCAAGACCTTCGTGCGCTCCGACCACCTGCACAGACACCTCAAGAAGGACGGCTGCAACGGGGTGCCCTCGCGCCGGGGCCGCAAGCCGCGCGTGCGCGCCCCGCCCGACGCCACCGCGGGGGCCGCCGCGCCCCCCGGGGCCCCCGACGCCCCGCGCAACGGCCAGGAGAAGCACTTTAAGGACGACGAGGAGGAGGACGATGAGGCCACCAGCCCCGACGGCCCGGGCCGCCTGAATGTAGCTGGAGCCGGCGGAGACGACGGTGCGGGGGGCCCCGGGGCGGCCGCCGCCCAGGCCCCCTTCACAGCCAGGCTCGCCTGAAACCAAAAAGAACAGAAACTCCGAGACCAAGAGGAGCCACCCCACCCCAGACACAAAGAAACCTATCTACATACAGATATCTATCTATCTATCTATCTATCTATATATATATATACAGATATATATATATGACGTCACAGAACTAGGATACTGCTTCTCAGATTTGTCGCCTTCATGAAGCCCCCTCCACAGGGCCCCCTCCTGCCCCCATGTCCCCCGCCCTGTCCGCTGGGGGGGTCTGGGCTTGGCATGGGGTCTTGTGGGGCGCCCACTGTGGGCAGGGGGCCTGATCCGAGCCTGGTTCTCCAGCCCTGGGCTCCAGGCTGGATTGGGGTGACATGAGGGGGGGGGCCGGGGACAGGGCCAGCTCTCGTGCCCCTCCCCTCTGGGTTTCTGTGAGTCTTCAGACAAGACCTTAAATGATCTCTGTCTGCTCTGAGCGGACGCTAAATGGTCCCTGGCCCCCCACCCTCCTTCCTCAGGGCACTTACTAAAGGGGGGGGTCTTACCCTCAGTCCTCCCCACTGGCCTCCCGCCTCCCGCCCCGCCTGTGACCTCGCACCTCTGCACCCCTCGGCCGCCGAGACACAAACCTATTTATTCCCAGGCCTGGGGACGGGGGCAGGCTTGGGGGCTGCAGGGGGTTCCAGGGTGGCCCGGGCTCCCGCCGCCTTCCTCCACGGCACTTAAACCTGGCGGGAGCCTGGGACCACCACTCAGGGCTCCCCTACCCCCAGCCACCCGAGACCCCACATTTGGAGATTGCAAATGTCTGTCTTGACCCCGCCCCCCTGAGCCCCTCCCACTTTTTCAAGCACTTTTTAGATTTTTTTTTTCCTCCTGAAAAACAAAATTTATATATAGATATAATATATATACACATGCACACGTATATATGGATGTCTGTCCACGTGTGTGTATATGTGTGTGTGTATATATATATAATATACTTAGAAGTGGCGGCAGGATGGGGTGAAGACAGCCAAGATGGGGGGCCAGGGTCTCAGAGGGCGGGGGGGGGGGCTAGCGAGGGGCGAGGGAGCTAGAGGGTCCGAAGTTCAATGTCACAAAAGCAATAAAAACCAAGATTTTACAAAATGGAAAGGAAGAATGAGAAAACCAACCACAGGCAAGCAACCACATTAGAAGTCTTGGCACTTTGTAACAGAACGGGTACTTTATCTTAATTCTTAATTTAAAAACATGTTTACAAGTTGTATCCAACTTCTATGAAAAATTGAAAAGACAAAAAAAAAAAGCGAGAGAAAGAGAGAGAGAGAAAGCAGAAGAGAATTCCTAAAAGTCAATTTATTTTTGTACAAAACAATAAAAAAAAAAAACCCCACCGCAAACATAGAATCCAGTTTTGTTCCCCAAGGCTGACGGGGGTGGCCAGGCGGCCAGGTAGCCATTGAGGGGCCTGCGGGCCGTCCTGGGCGGGGAGGGCCTGCACTGAGGGCAGCCATGGGGTCCCCCAGTCTGTGCCAGCCTCTCCCAACCCCCCCCCCCCCGCCCCCGATTCTCCTGCATTTGGTCTTGGCTCGGCGGTGGCCGCCCCTGGGGCTCCCTCCTTCCTTGCCCCCCCAGCTCAGGGATGGGCCCGAGAAGGCTGGCCTTCCAACCAGCCGGACCACCCAGCCTCCCCCCCCCCCCCCCACGACCTGCCCTCCAACATGGCTGTCCTCCTGGGTCACCATCTTGGACGTGCCCCCCCCATCCTTGACCAGGGCCCTCACTTCCAGGGCCTCCCCCCCCCATTTTTAATCAAAGGCACTGACTGTAACTGGCTCGCACCTGTCTTCCCCCCAACCTCTGGCTCCCCAAAGGCCCGGTGTTGACCGAGCCGCAGGCCACGGACAGGGACCAGAGGCCAGAGGCGGAGGACAGCGCTGCCGGCTCCAGGAAGCCCCTCCCGGCCGCATCGCAGAGCCTCGCGCGGGACCTTCCTGTTGGTGCCTGGCCGGGGGCGGGGGGGGGGGTCCCTGCATTCCCCCACTTTTGTCCTTTTGTTTTTAAAGGGAAGCTTTTGAAGAAGGTGGTAATTTTTTTTTCTCTCAGTTTCTACTGGATAGTTTTTGTCCCCTCCCCAGCCTTTCAGCACCCCGAAATGTCTCAGGTTTCCCCCTGTGGGCCAGCAGAAGGGGCAGGCCCCAGCCCCCCCCCCCCAAAGTGTCACTGTCACCAGGCGAGCTGTTTTGGAGAACAAGCTATCGAGGCTGAGCTGGGAATTCGAGCACCCCAGGCCGGGGGCCACCCCCTAATCCCCAAGAGGCCCCCCCGGGGGGGGGGACGATTCTTCCCCCCCTCCCCCCCCCCCGCAATAAAACCAACTCAAATCACATGTCCTGCTAGGGGTGGGGGCCTCTGGACGTAGGGGGCTGGCCCTGTGGGGACCCTGGTAGGAGTAGGGGTCCACAGCCTGCCAGTGGCAGTTTTGAACACAGACCTCCTCTGGAATTGCACTAGACCCTTGCCCCCCAGCTCCGCGCTCAGCTTCCGCCAGCCCTGCCCCCCAACTCTGCCTTAACCGCTAGCCCGTCCTGGGGGCCGCAGCGTCTGCATGGGCCCAGAGCCGGGACCCCCCCCAGCCCCGCCCCGCCCCCAGCCCAGCCCGGCCCCGCCCCAACTCTGCGCAATCACATACTGTATATAGACGTGGATCGATTTTATTTTTATTCTTTAAATTAAGGTCGTGATAAAGGTGTTGCCAAAGATACTGCTGAATTTACGTGTTTCAGGAAACCTTTGAGGAGGCTGTTTGTCTTGGAGGATGTTACAGAAAGGTTTTTGTTTGGTTGTTTGGGGTTTTTTTTTTGTGTTTTCTTTTTTTTTTTTTTTTTTTTTTGGTGTTTTTTTTTTAACTGCCTGGTACAAACAAAAAAAAAAAAAAAGGAAAAAAAAAGACAAAACCAAGCGAAATTGTTCTTTCCATCATCACCTGGTGAAGAGTGGGTGCTGTGTGCGGGTGTGTGCAGGAGAGTGAGGGCCAGGCCTGGGGGGGGGGGCGTAGTTCCAGGCAGGGGTACCGCCTGCCACTGTCCCCAAATCTGCAGGGCCCTAGAGAGAGGAATGGCCCTGCGTAGTAGCTGCTCCTTGCCTTGTCCCCCCTCCACCTTTTGAGATTAAAAAAGAAAAAAAAACAAGAAATAAAAAAATTAATAAAACCAACTACATGGAAACTAGTGAATGTAAAGCAGAGCCTGGACTCAGCGGGTCATACCAAAGTCCACCCAGCCAGAGACACCCCTGCACCGCAGCCAGAGACTTGCCACCCTAATGTATACAGCTAACCGTGGCTTCCTCCTGAGGGGGTCCTCTGGGCCATGTCAGGCACAGTCAAGGTAGCATGTGGTAAACTGAGGCAGGGATCAGCCGCATTCCCCAGGATGGAGACAGTCCAGGTAGCCAGAATTGTAGATGACACAGGGACACAGGCTGAGAGGAATACCAGAAAGGGGGCCCGGGGGGGGGAGGGGAGTAAAGGAAAAAAGAAAAGCCAACAAAAAAAAAAAAAGCAAAAATCCTATTTTTTGAGAGAGAAAGATATTTATATTTGCAGTTTTATTTTAAAGAGTTATTTAAGCTGAGGAAGCAGCCTTTCCAGACGTGGGGGCCTGGCTGGCGCAGGACGGGTCAGGGCCTTGTGTGGGCTCAGGGCTAAGGGGTCGCAAATCTCAGAGGTCAGACGAGCTAGATTGACATGGGGTGGGGGTGGGAGGCTAGGAAATGGAGAGGCCAGGGGACCCCAGCCTGTGGCTAGGGCTGCCTAGAGCTATGGATGGGTGGTCTCCTGCCGCCCCAGGTCTGGATACGAGGTGCCTTGGATTTGGGGGGCCAGGCCTGGCAAGTGGAGGGGGGTGGGCAAGGGGTGGTGCCCAGGGGTTACAGAGCACAGACAAGACATTCCATGGACTGTATTCGAGAGTCTTTATAAAGTGGGGAGATTTAACAAAAAAAAAAATCAATGGATAAAAATGCACTTTTTGGGGGTGGGGGGAGAAGCTTTAAAAGTAATAAAAAAAAACAAAAAACATAAAAGATGATTAAAAAAACAAAAAAATTTCATTTTTCTTGTACATAAAAAAGAAAAAAACCACTAAATGCAGCCTGTTACGACCGCGGCCGCCTCCTTGCCTGATTTCTATGTCGTGTGTCTTGCTGTGGGGGTGCCGGTGGGGGGGGGTGGGAGGTGGGATTCCCCCCCCAGACCCTTCTGCTCATCTTGGGCAGGGTCCCGGGTGGGTGGCTGGGTGTCAGGATGCGCCCTGGGAAGGGAGGTGACCACAGCTCTGGGAGGCCAGGCAGGGGTAGTGGCCCATGGGTGCTGGAAAGGGACCAAGGGCGGCAAGGACACTGGCCGGGCCTGGGTGCTCATCCCAAGTCAGCCCTAAGGTCTACAAGATCATGGGTGTGGCCTGAAGCCATCGAGGTCCCATCCACAGCTGTCCCCAAAGACAGCATCCTTCCTGAGGCTTGTGGGGCCTCCTCTCCTGACAGAGTAGCAGTAAGTCGTTGCAGGCCCTGAGCGAGGAGCCTCCCTCCCGGGGCTCCCACTGCCGCAGCCAGCCATGGTTCAGCCAGCAGGGCTGGCCGGGGTGGGGGCCAGCACCTGGTCTACTCGGACCCTCTGTTCCTTCCTGGAATTGGGCACAGGGGACTGGCAAGGCCTGGCCTCGCTCCTGTCTGGCAACACGCTCAGAGGCACAGAGCTGTGTGAGATCACCCAGGGAGCTGGCTGCCAGCTAGTGGGTGTGCATGGGCTGGGGTCCCTGGGCTACTCAGGCAGCCCTGAGCCGCCATGACACCCGGGGCCTGCTGAAGTCCAGGCTGTAGCCACGCATTAGGACGAGATGCGCAGGAGACCCCGCCTGACGTTTCATCAAGGTGCAATCTCCACATCAAACAGCCCACCTTGTGTTTTTTTTTTTTGGGGGGGGGGTCTGTCGTGGGGCTTGAACTCGGCCTGGGCGCTGTCCCTCAGTTCTTCAGCTCAAGGTGAGTGCTCTACCACTTGAGCCACAGCACCACTTCCAGTTTTTTGGTGGTTCATTAGACATAAGAGTCTCAGAGTTTCCTGCCCAGGCTGGCTTTGAACCATGATCCTCAGATCTCAGCTTCCTGAGTAGCTAGGATGACAGGCATGAGCCACCAGTGCCTGGTTCCTGGTTTTTAATACACTGTCCAGTTCCAGAACATTCCATCCTACCAAGAAGTTCCATCTGCATGAGCAGTTACCTTGTCCCCTCCATAGTCCCTGCCCCCCTGGAATACATCTCTGAACCTACCTGTTGTTCACATTTCCTACCAATGGGGACCACATAGTGTGGGGTCTTGTGTGTGTGTGTCCTGGGGCTTGAATTCAGGGCCTGGGCAATGAGCTATTTTTGCTCAAGGCTGGTACTCTAGCACTTGAACCACAGCTCTACTTCCTTTTTTTTTTTTTTGGGGGGGGGGACCTCTGAGCACTGTCCCTCAGCTCTTCAGCTCAAGGCGAGCGCTCTACAGCACTTCAGTTTTCTAGTGGTTTATTGGAAATGACTTTCCTGCCCGGGCTGGCTTTGAATCACGAAACTCAGATCTCAGCCTCCTGAGTAGCCAGGATTACAGGTGTGAGCCACCGGTACCTGGCTATTTGCAACTTTTTGGTGGTTCACTGGAGATGTCTCACAGCCTGGGCTGGCTTTGAACTTGCATGCTCAGATCTCAGCCTCCTGAGTCACTGGGATGACAGGTGTGAGCCACCAGAGCCCGGCAGTGTGCGGCCCTTTTATGTGCCAGGGCCTTGTCCTGCTCCTGGCAGTGTGATGTTCCTGCCTAGAGGTAGCGACCATCCCATGGCCGTCTGTGCTTCCAACTCCTAAAGCGACTGTCCAGGTTCATCACCTTTAGCACTTGGTGGGGGCAGCTTGAGGCCAGCACTGGCATTTCCCCCTGCCCAGTGACTTGGGCTGAGGCTGGAGCCCCCCCGCAGGGACAGGACAGTGGGACCCCAGCAGCACACAACACCTCAGGATTCCTCAGTGGCTTCACCGTGACCTTTTTATTTGCATTTTTAAAAAACAATTAAATTAGAATACAAATATTAGAAAACAGCGCCCGGGCTGCCAGTGGGGCGTGGCCGGCGGAGTTCCTCGCGAGGCTGCCGGCCGTCCTCTAGACCTGAAGGTATTGCTTCCTGACTCGGAGAGTTCTGTGTAGAATCGGTGGCTGCCCGGCGCCGGGCCTGGAGGTCTGGAGGCCCCCCCTTGCCCTCTGAGACCCCCCCCCCAGCAGAGGGGGTTCCGGACTGATGTGGTGCAGGCCAGGCCCTGTTGGAAGAGAGGCTCCCAGGGAGGGGCCGGGAAACCCAAGAGCAAGACGAAAAGGAGGAGCCAGCGGGAGCCCCGCGCCCACCCGCCGGGCGGCGGCATCTGTGCTGCTCCATAGGGAAGTTAACCTGAATTGGAGTTACCGAGGTAGCTGGCTAGAAAACTGAGACCCCCCCACCCCACGCCACACGGTGCCGCGCCTCTGGGGCCCACCTCCCTAGGGAGGCCTGGCCCGGAGCCCAGCCTTCTGAATACCAAGTTATTGCACTTTCAAAAAATACAACACATCTGTGGCGCACACCCTCCCCAACCCCCCACCCAGCCCCCCGCCCCCCCCCACCCCTCCATGGCTTCTTAGCTAGGATGCTCGCAGCACAGCAAGGCTGCCAGGGCTCCAGCCTGTGCATTTTGCGGAGAAAGCAAGGGAACAGACACAGCCAAGGGCGAGGGTCACCAGCCAGGTCCGGCCCGTGCCCACCCCATGGGTCCCCTGCACCAGCTGGAAGGGTCCCGGGCATTGCAGGCAATGGCGGGGCGGGGGGGGGGGGAGTTTGTGGGGCGTCCTGGGTCCCAGCTGCTCACCACTCGTGGACCCCGCTCGGGCTCGGGCCTGGGCTCCAGCTGGGGAGGTGGCTGTGTGGTGGCTTTTGCCTTATTCTTCAAAGTCGGGTTTTTTTTTTCTGTTTTTTGTTTTTGTACTTTTTTTTTTGTCATTTTACTTTTTTTAATCCCCCAGAGGAGTCCAGAGGTACAGGTGCCGGGAGCCAGGGGCGGAGCGGAGAAAACAAAGTGACCCACGAAAGGAAAGCAAAGGCCTCCTCCTCCCCACGCACCCCGCGCCTGCGCGCCCGCCCTCGATGGTGAGCACCAGTGAGTGTCCAGCGGCCCGCGGTCAGCAGGCTGGCACCAGGCCCTTCTGGAAGAGGCATCGGCGCTTGGGCCGAGGACCCTCCTCGTCCTCGTCATCCTCCTCCTCCTCTTCCTCCTCGTCCTCCGAGGAAGATGAGCTGTCCAGCGTAAGGTCCACCACATCGGCTCCCGGCTTCCCATTCTCCACACCCGGGGCACCCAGCCCGCCGCCCGCACTGCCCAGCGGGCCGCTGCCACCGCCACTGTTCACGCTGGGGGGCGGCAGGAGACCGTTGGCATCGGAGGCGCCTGCGGGTGACAGGGATGGGGCACGGGCACTCGGGATGCTGTGCTCCGCAGAGCGGTGTCCAGGAACGGGGAGGTGGGGGTGGGGGTGGGGGGTGGGGGGAAGGACTCACCAAGCACCAGGATGGGGCCCTGGGGGCTGCAGCTCCGTTCCTTCTCGGCACGGATTGGGCACCACGAGCCGTCCACCAGGTACTCGATCTCATCCGCATCCTCACACTCGCTCAGGATCTTGGACAAGAGCCTGGGGTGGGCAGGTGGGTAAGGGTGGGCGGCCAGGTACCCCTTGGCCCGCTCCCCGCTCCCGGCCAGAAGCCAGGGCTGAGGGCTATGGAGGCCAGGAGAGGGGGCGGGGTCTCAAGCAGCTCCGCCTCCTCCTCCATCCCAATACACCCCCCCCCTTTTTTCCAATACTCTATTTTTGGAGAAGACAAACAAGAGGCCTAAAAGGCCAGGCTCGATGCCATAGGCAGGGAAACCCCATATAGTGAGTGGGGGACAGGCCCAAAGCAGGGGTGCTGGTTGGTCCACAGAGCCTTGGGGGAGTCACCGGGGGCTGCTATGTGCCGTCCCGGCCAGTCGGAGAGACAGAGGTCTGGTAGGGGCGGATGGTGCCCAGATCACCCCCTTCCCTCCCCCCTGCTCCCCCCACAAGGCCAGCCCAGCTATGCTGCCTGGGGCC